TGAGAGACGATCAAAGAAAATAAGAAGTAAAAGAAAATGTTAACACATAAATTAGATTGGTCAAAATTTGATGAATATTTTGACACATGTGTAAAGGAAGTAGTTTCAACCCACTAGGTGTAATAATCAATTGCTACCAAAATGAAACGATGCCCATTATTTGCTTTAGCATTTATTGGTTTGATGACATCTATGCCCCACATCGAAATGGCTAGGGCGATACCAAGTTGAAAAGGGGTGCTAGTGGAGCATTTATCCGATCGGTATGAATCGACACTTATGATATTTTTGAACATAGTCGATACAATCTTTGTCCATGATAGTCCAAAAATAACCAATTCACTAAATTTGTCGGGTTATTATATGTCCACTAGTATGTGTAGCATAGATCCCCTCGTAGACCTTTCTTATAATCTTCTTTGCTTTGATTGTATCCAAACATCTCAACGAGAGTCGTCATAACTTCTTTTCTATAAGATTTCACCGTCGGGATAAAAATCCATAGCCAAAATTTTTAGCATATTTTTATCTTTCTTGTTTGCATCGATCAAATACTCTCTATTTTTAATAAACTCGCTTAATGTCATGGTACCATGGCTTCCCATCTAGTTCTTTTTCAATCAAACCATAATAGTATGCTTGGAGTATTTTTGGTTTCAATGCATATGGGTTTAATTTTTACTATACATTCAATTTCAGTCATGGAAGTAAGTGTTGCTTGTACATCGATAAAATGATTCTTCTCTCTACCTAGATGAGTGAACTCAATCTCTTCAAATTAATCGTCCAACTTTGTTAAGTACTTCTAATATGGCTTTAGCTTTTCATCTTTTGTTGGTCACTCTCCTTTCATTTGACTGATTATGAGCAAAGAGTTATTGTATACATCAAGTTTGTTTATTTATCTTTATTTCTAAGGTTGCTTCTAAGCCATGCACTTATGCTTCGTACTCGATGATGTTGTTCGTGCATTTAAACTATAACTTAACTACCATGAGGAACTATCTTCCTTTTTATGAGATCAAGACCGACTCGATACCATTTCCTAACATATTGATAACCCCATCAAAATATAAAACCCACATGTCATCCTTCGACTTCGACTCTTCTTTCTTGATCACCATAATTAATTCATCAAGAAAATTAAATTTCGTAGGCTCCTAGTCTTTTATTGTCTTATCTCCTAGATAGTCGGCCATGACACTTCCTTTTACTATATTTTTTGTCATGTATACAATATCATATTTAGATAACATAACTTGCCATCTTATAATTCGACTAGATAGGTATTGCTTCTCAAAGATGTACTTCGGAGGATCTATTTTTTAGATTATCCAATAGTCTAATAGAGCATGTACTCGTCCGAGCCCTCGTGCACACCATACTAAACCACAACATATCTTCTCTATGTGGTATTTCGACTCGCAATCGGTGAACTTTTTACTTAAATAGTAGACGACATGTTCTTTGTTTCTCGACTAATCTTACTAACCCATGACACTTTCTCGCGACTATTTCTATCACCGGCAAGTACGGAATCAATGGTCTTTTTGGTATGGGTGGTACCGGTAATGATGAATTTTGTAAATATTACTTGATCTAGTCAAAGGCCTTCGACAGTTTTCATTCCATAAACTTGAATTTTTCTTTTGTAACAATCCGAATATTAGTTCGCAAGTATTGGTTAATTGAGGGATAAATGAGCTATATAATTCAAGCGGCCTGAAAGCTTCTAACTTTTTTTCAATTGACCCCGAAGGCATACTCTAGATGGCTTTGACTTTGTTGGGATCAACCTCAATTCCTTTATTGCTTACTATGAAACCAAACAATTTTTTAGACTTCACATCAAAAATGCACTTCATAGGATTCAACCTCAACTAGTATTTCCTTAGTCTCTCAAATAACTTTCTATGATTATCGTATGATCCTCATTTTCTTAGATTTAGCCATTATGTCATCCACATACAGTTCAACTTTTTTATGCATTAGGTCATGGAATAAGGTGACCATGGCTCTTTGGTAGGTAGCTCCAACATTTTTCAATCTAAAAGGCATAACTTTATTGCAAAAATTTCCTCAACGTGTAATAAATATCTTCTTCTCCTTGTCATTTATCGTCATCTTGATCTACTTATATCCTAAAAACCCATCCATGAACGAATAAGTGGCATTCTTCATAGCATTATCGACCAATACATCGATATGCGATAATGGAAAGTCATCTTTTAGATCGGCTCTTTTTAAATCTCGATAATCCATACACATTGAAATCTTTCCATCTTTCTTACCAACTACGACTATGTTTGACACCCATTGAGGGTATTCAATCACTTCTAGAAATCTAACATCCCATTGCTTTTTGATCTCTTCTTTTACTTTTAGCAATACATCCAGCCTTGTTATCCTCAAATTTCGCTTTATTAGTTTATACCTTAGGTTCATAGGTAATTTATGCTCCATTATCTCGATATCTAGCCCCGGCATGTTGGCATCCGACCAATTCTTTCAAGAGTGAAATCGAGCTTTCCTTTTTGATATCTTTCATCAAGGTCTTAACTTGTAGCTCTCGTCTATTCTCATTAGTCCCCACATTTATCACTTATGACTTTTCTTGATGTGGTTTGATAGAGTGTTCTAACAATTCTATCGGCTTTACGAATTCTTTTACATCATCCTTTCCCCACTCTTCTTTGTCCATTGCAATTAAAATTTCATCAAATTTAAACCAATCATTTTTAGGGCGAGCATTTTCATTTTTACGGAGATGATCATAATGTATGTCCCCGAAATGAAATAAAAGTATAAATAAAAAAAAGGAAGAAAAGGCAAACAAGACGATTTCAAAATGAAATTCGCATAATTTGATGTATTAATATTATATATGAACAAGACAAGGCTCCACATCAAAATTTTCTTTCTTGGATTCGAGCTAGAATTCAACTGGAAGGTTAAAGAAAAACATGATAAAAAGAGATTTACTCGACCTTATAAACGATCGACATTTCCTCCTTGAACCGGTTGGTCGACTCCTTGGTTTTAACACACTTCTAGACAATCCTATCAATGTCAAAAGCTTCGTCCATAATGTCAATATTGAGTTATGGAAGAGTCACCATATCAAATCCGATTAGTGATGATGTCGACGATGTATGCCGATAACCGTCCATAGTCACTGCTGCCCCGAGGTTTTGATTGCTATGTCATTGAAGATGTAACCCAAGTTAAAATTCTCATCATCCATAAATGCGACATATAAAGGTTGTGAAAATGTAATATAAGCTGAAGTATATGTTAATTTTAATATACACACATACACGCTGCGTGAAAATTAAAGAAAAATAAAAACTTAAGATTGAAAAAAAAATACAACATGAGGGACGAAAATAGAAAAAAGTATTAAATTTGTATATTAATGTCTAAAAACACACAAAAATTACTTAAATTACCATTAAATGAATAGTAATTTTATGAATATGAAAGTAAGTGAATATGAAGTTTAAGCATATGAATAGTTCGGATTCTCGTGCTATGTCACGGACCAAACTAAACATATTTATTTTAGTTTGATAAAACATACTATGTTATCGGTTAATTAAAATATATTAAATTAAATATAAAAGATAAAATTTCATCTAATTTTATAATTTTGAATCAGAATTTTGTACCTATAGATATATATTTTTTATGTTTTGAATAAATTTTGAAGTAAAAAAAACATGATTTGTTTTTTCTTATGCATTTGTTCTTAAATAAAAACCCATAATAAACAAGTTTTAATATAAAAATTAAAAAAATATTTTAATATTTTTTTGATAACATTGCATAAAAAAATAAAAATAAAACAATAATTAATATAAACTTTGTATGAAAATTAACAAATGAAGCTTTTTACCGATGAGAAGATTATCTTTTTAAATATATACATTTAATTTATATATATTTATTTACAAAATAATGAATAATATTAGTATATAAAATTGTATTTGAATTATTCGACAGTTATTTTAAAATATTATTTTAATTATTTTATTTGAAAAAATTAATTTTAAATATTAAAAAAATAATAGCAAATAGTTGGTATTGTCTATGTAAATAAATAGTGATTTCTAATAAAATTAAAGACTTTATTATTATTATTTTTTATACATCATGACCATACTCAATAAGTGAGAACATATAGAATAATGTAAAAAATATTTTAAAAAATAAATTGTAAAATATATATTAAAGTTAATAGAGTACAATAAAACTATAAATTGATTTCGATAAAATTTGATTATATAAAAAATAAAGAAAATAAAATACATATATTCTATTTTTAAAATATGATTATATAAGAATTAAGGAAATAAAAACAGGTATAAAAAAATTTATTTTAATCCATACATAGAGAAAATAAATAACATTTATTAATAAATAAAATTATATAAAAAATAAAAATAAAAATTAACTTGAAGAGAATTTTTATAATAAATCGAAAAGATCAATTTTAAATAATAAGAGTAATATATATTCATTCTAAAATCAAACATCCAATTAAATAAAAAAACTTAAATTGATGGGGAAAAAAGCAAAGGAAAAAAACAAAAAAAAAACGGAAAAGAAAAATCATGTGCAGTGTGTTCTGTAAATGATGGTGTGTGGAAGGACGAACAGTAAAAATTACTATTCAAATCACCATCTCTTTTAATAATTAACTAATAATTAACAAAAATAATAATGGTTTCCTTCTCGCGCGCCACGAGTACCGGAATTATTTCGTTAATTAGAATGAAAATTTGCTATGACACGAAAACAAAATTTGGTAACGTAAGAGATGACGCCAAAAATTTTCGGATAATTAATAATATCCTGAGTGATAAAGCGGACAGGTCCCCCCGCAATTACTTCTATATATACACATTTCTTGATTCTTCCCCTCACTCACTCACTGATCAGATTCTTTCTGCTGTTCTCTGTTGCTGTGTTGAATCAAGAAAACAGAAAGGAAAAAGCAAATGTCAGGACCTCAGTGCTGTGCAAACCCACCAACCCTGAACCCCAGCAGTGGAGCTGGCCACGTTGAGAAAGTGGGTGGTCTTGACTCTTATGTCACTTGCTCTCCTGACTCTAAACTTGCAATTCTTCTTGTCTCTGATGTTTACGGTAACTTATTACTTTCCCCCAAGCTCCTATTTAGAAGTTGCTTTGTCAAAATTTCTTTAGTCTTCTTTTACGGCTGAATCTGATCTATTTGGACCTTTTGCCGTTAGTGTTTTTTTTTTTTCCATGTCCTTTTTCTTTTGCTGTTTTGGAACATTGGGTCTTTAAGTAACTTAGGTTTGCTACTTGTGTTTCGTCAAGGTTGCTGTTTTTTTTTTTGTTCTTTGTTTTAGGTTTTGACTTCCATTATCTTGATTATTTATTATTATGTTCTAATCTTACATTTGTGGATTATTGATCTGCAGGATATGAAGCGCCTAACTTAAGGTATGGTTGGTCATCTTTTGTTTTCTTTTTTGCTGTGTCATAACCCTCTGGTTTTTAGTACCTAGAAAACATAATTTGTTTTATATGGTTAATATTTATTTTGCAAATTCTTTTTTATGTCAATCTTTTGATTCAAAGTTAACCATAATATAGTTAAATTGTTAACGTTATAATGGATTAATTGAAAGAAGAAAAAAATTAAATAAACCTTCGAAAAAGAAAGGAAAGTAGAAAAGATATCTGGGAATTTTCTCCTTGTGGTCTCTAGTGTTAAGCCACTGTTGGAACTCGGAAGCCTTTATGCAACAAATACAACCCTCGTTATGGTTCCTAAAGGCCATTTGGTAGCGAAGCACTCCAGATAAAGCTGCTCGATATATTACTCATCTAATGTATTTAATCAGTGATATCTGGGAATTTTCTCCTTGTGGTCTCTAGTGTTAAGCCACTGTTGGAACTCGGAAGCCTTTATGCAACAAATACAACCCTCGTTATGGTTCCTAAAGGCCATTTGGTAGCGAAGCACTCCAGATAAAGCTGCTCGATATATTACTCATCTAATGTATTTAATCAGTGTTTACATTTTCTTTTTCTTTTTCTGGGTTAATTCAATATGCATTTCTGTAAAGTGTAATCTGGTGAAGGATCTTTAAAGATGCCTTTTATTGACACCTGCATCTGTACTTGACAATGGCTTGTTGGCTAACTTGCAAATATCAAAACAACCTGGTTGGAAGGGGAGGTTATAATCTGTGTTGTGTTTGCTCTCATATTTATATCGCTGTTTGGAATGGTGATACTATGGCCCGTTGTGTCTGGGTAGACATGTGTGCTTTGCTATTTGATAAGATTGTACCCTATTGGGAGCTGATGCCAGCTGCTTTCTACCATGAAGGAAGCTTGCAGACAAGATTGCTGCTGCTGGATTCTATGTGGTAGTTCCCGACTTCTTTTATGGAGAACCTTATGCACCTGAAAATGCTGAGAGACCCATTCAAGTTTGGTTAAAGGATCATGGTGTGGTTAGTTCTTTGAGATCCCTATGCTACATGAATTCTCTGCTATGTTTTTGTTGAACATCTTATTCCACGGGCTTTGTGTAAATTACACATTTCAAGCTGTATGAATTCTATGTAGAATCTTTCACCTTCTTTGTTTGTTGTTATCATTGCTCACATGATTCCTGTATATTCTGACTGACTTGCTGTCATTCCAATCGTTAACAGCGTTTGAAATGTGAAGTGATCCACATTGCAATGAAGTTTTAATTATTTGCATCCATTATGCACCAACTCTAATGTTTAACATCTTAGCCTTTTCCATTCTTTGCAGGTTAAAGGTTTTGAAGATGCAAAACGAGTAATTGAAGCTTTGAATGGTAAAGGTGTCTCTGCAATTGGGGCTGTGGGCTTTTGTTGGGGCGGTAGGACTATCTTTTTTCACCCCATCATTATACCATGTTAATTGATACAATTTTCTCATGTCAGGACTTGCATATGCTGAAGTACATCTTCAACTAGACACCAATCGAACTCAGAAATCTTCTATTTTGCTTTGCATTGAGTAATTTATGGAGCTAGCTAATTTGGTATTATGATTTCTTCTCAGCCAAGGTGGTCGTTGAATTAGGAAAAACTTCCGCTTTCATCAAAGCTGCTGTTCTGTGTCATCCCTCCTTTGTCACTTTAGATGACATAAAGGGTATGAATTTCTGAGCTGAACATTCTTGCTATCTGCTTCTCTCAGTTAGTGGTTTGCCTGTTACGCTTTGTATTTTGTAGCTTCAAATAAACAACTCATTGGATTGTGTACTATACATGTCCATATATGAATCATTGTAGGGTTACCGTTGTTCCAAGATTTTCTGTTGTTATTTTTCCATGAAGTTCATTGTACTTTATTGGATGCCATTTATGTTAACTTGCATTCCATTTTTTATAGCTTCAAGTGATATTTTGTATCATGCTATTAGATGAATGTTTCTCCGTATAATGCTGGTCTGCCTTGAAGTTGGCAGCATGTCAAGCTATCAAGTACCGTTCTCAAGCTGATCAACTCCTAATATATGTAACTTTTAGTAACTCAATTATGTTTGGAACCATTTGCAGAGATTAAGGTTCCTATTTCAGTACTAGGAGCTGAGGTAGACCATCTCTCACCACCAGCACTCTTGAAACAGTTTGAAGAGGTTTTAGCTGCCAAACCTGAGGTAGGAAGACAGTACCTCTCTCTAATATATCAAGTGCCTGTTTGTAATATATATATATATATATATATATTTTTATCCCAGATGGCATTTATTTAGTTTCCTTAGGTAGTAGTGTGGTACATGAGGTAACCAAATGATAACTTTGTGGCAGCATGCCCCTTTTTTTATTTTTGTTGTCCTAGTTAGTCGTATGATAAGACAAATGGAAACAAGAAATTTGTAGCAAAATTGTGGAATTCCACTGGAATTATCCCTGTTTTTCCCACTCTGGCTACCAAATCTCAATGTACATGGTGAAAAAAAATCTGTTTAGTTTGTGATTCTTAAAAACTTTTTATAATTGTTACATGTACAAATTTTATGTCGATCTTCATCCCAGATGAACCTTTTGTTTTCTATCCAAAAGATAAGAAAATCATGAAATAATCTAATACCAATTTGGATCTTTTTTACCCTAGCTAAATTGTTACATGCAGAAATTGTTTTTGCTCATCCATTATGATTACTGATCTTCTAGCTTATCAATTTGGATCGTTTTTGTTCTCATTTTTTTCCTTGCCAGAACTGATGTATTCTTTATTGGTCGACTTTTAGCACTCTCAACCTCTAGTTTTCCATCTGTGTGTGTTCTGTATTTGCTTTGGAACACCTACGACATCTTCCTTCCTACTTTTTGGAAATCAAATAATATTCTGGTACTTTACAGGTTGATAGCTTTGTGAAGATATTTCCAAAAGTTGCTCATGGATGGACAGTGAGGTACAATATTGAAGATGGAGCTGCCGTGAAGAGTGCAGAGGAGGCCCATGGAAACTTGATGGAGTGGCTTGCTAAATATGTCAAATGAGTAGAAACTAGAATATATATATATATATATATATATATATATATATATTAGATCGCTGGGAAATCATTTAGTTTTATTATGCTTGATGTTAAAACTTGAATAAAGATTTCTTTTCGACCTTTTTTCCTTTAATGCATTCCTCCTTTACTTCCTCTGTTTCTTTCATTCATTTATATTTATATCTTGAGGATAGAGGATTTGGACGTAGAACCTCTTTGGAGGAGAGGTCTTTTACTACCTAGGGTGTGGGTTTAAAGTTTAAACAGCCTGGATTGAAATCGAAAATGTTCTGGGGCTGGATATCATTTGAGTAGACGTGGCCTGTAGGGACAGGTTAGGTGAATGGACAAGGTGGGCTGGATGGCCTAGCTTTGACCTGTACCAAGAGGACTTAACCTCGAGAGCCATTCTGATGGATTTTTAGAGGGCTCCATAACGGTAATTCCAGAAGAAAAAAGGGTTGAAACTTGAATCTGGCGCGTGGAGATGATTTGTTTGTTGCTGTTTGTCTGTGTGGTGACTGTTTCATAGCCTGTCAGCACCACTCAATGTTTGACAGACATCTGGGACATCCTTGAACTAAAGAAACAGCAATACCAAACATCTGTCGAGTGCGTTGCTCCTTTGCGACATAAAAAACAATTAAACTAGATAAAGGGCAAAATATATAAATTTGGAAAATATATAGTAATTTGAATAAAGTTAATATGGTATTGAATTTTGGAAAATCAATAAAATTAATGACTTTAAAAAGGAGGGAGAACTAGTTCTATTTGTGTAACCCAAAAAAACTTGATCTGTTTTGGTGTTTTTACAAGTGAAGTTATTCATGCGTTGATAGAATTATATGAAGTATTAAATATATACTGATAATTAAAAAAAAAATGATTAAGTCTGGTTATAAATTATTTGAATTAATAAGAATCACTTCAAAATTTAAATAAGGTTTATGCTGCAAGTCAAACTAATATATTACGAATACCATGAATATATGTTTTATATTACATGATTACTTGATTGGTTAATATGTTTTTTATGTCAATTATGTGACTAAGATGGAATTTAGATGATTGTGAGATTAAATTATCTTGATTAAAAGAATATAATTGAAAAAATTAGAACTTGCTATACTATGTAGTTTTTGGCAGATTTAAAAGGGATCCAAATCCAAGTTTTTTATGATATTTTGTGCCTTCTAAAATCTAATCTAATTGGATTGGGATTTTGTAATTTTTTTTCAATTTGATACCTTATTATCTTTAATTTTATTTTTATTATTTTTTTATATAAAAAGTGGTAAGGGTCAAGACCTCGTACAATTCGATATTTTTATTTTATTTAGATCCTAAGTTTTTTTTTTTTTTTTTTTTTAAGAGTCCTACTCTTATGTTATTATCAAAGAATTTGTAGGCTAATGGTAATGATCTCTTGCAACAAGCGATTATGAGTTCAAATCCTAAGGAGCCTTGCGCATGTGAGTTCAAATGCTAAGTGCCACATAAGCACACATAGCAAGTTTTACTAAATGACGGATTGCCATATGTCATGATGGGTTCAAATTGAGTTTTAACTACAATAAATTTTTTTTGATGAATTTTCAATAATTAAACAAACAATAAACTTAATAGGTTAGAAAAATACAATTCAACAATTGCCCATTAAAACTAAAAAGCCCCTTCTCTCTCCTATTCATTTCGGCTTGTTTTCTCTTTCCTCATTCGATCCGCAATCTAAACTTACAATTCCTAATTCTCAAATTTCAAACTTGCTATTAGTTCCACTCGTCGCTACTAGAAATGGAAGTCCGCTCATTCCTATCATCTCGCATTTTTTGGGCTTCAAGGGCTTCTACGACATCGAGACCCCCGTCCGCTTCGTCACCACTATTGTCGATATCAACAATCTCATCATCAATACCATTTTGTTGTGGTACATTGCTATCAAAGCCATCATTAATTTTTTCTTCAATTGCATTCCCATCATCAAGTGAGACAAGCACCAAAAATGCCCTCGATGTCTATATCTTGATGTTCTTCAACTTCATCATTCATGGGGCTTGGTGAGGAAGTTAATACATTTGGTGGATGGGTTGGATGCTCGGTAATCCTCTTACTAGTAACTTTTGTACCTACTTGTTTGATGAGAGCATTATGCTATGCTCGCACAAAACACACAATGAAAAGTAGAATGACATATAATGAGCAATGATTGAAAATTATATATGAATAATTAATGGAGCCTAGATTATATTCTTGGATATATATATATAGTGGCCCTACATATTATGCAATATTTTGATTTAGGGATCCTATCTACCATTAATGGGGATTAAGGTTTATAATTGGAAAATGAGGGATTGGGTATGAGGGTTTGAAATTTGAGAATTAGAGATTGTAAGTTTTGATTACATATCGAAAAAGGAGAAAAAAGAAAGAAAGAAAAACTAAAATGAATAGGATAAAGAATGAGATTTTTTGTTTTGGTGGGTAAGAGTTGAATTGTATTTTTCTAACCTATTTTTAAGTTTATTATTTGTTTAGTTATTTAAAATTCATCAATTGTTTTTTTATTTTTCTTAAAACCTAATTTAGGCCCACCATTACACGTGGTAAGATGTCATTGGTTAAAGATTACCACATGTGTTTACATGACATATTAAAGTCTAAAATGACAACAACAATAATATAAGAATAGAAATCTTAAATTGGATAGAAAAAAAGTTTAGGATCTCAATAAAAAAATTCAAATTGTACGAATCTAGATATGCATAAAATTTCGTGTGTGTGTGTGTGTGGAGGCCTATTGACTATTTTATTTTACATGTTTTTTTTTTAATTATGTTTTCCACTTTATGTGTTTATTTTAGTGATGTCGGTTTAGATCGGTCTAGATCGGTTTAGATAGAGTAGGCTTAGGATTGAAGACCGACTTTGTTTAAATGATAAACCTTTTTCATATTATTTATTTTTATTATTAATGTTATTATTTATTTGATTTAATGTAATTTTACTTTATTCTTCGATGCCACAAATTTTGTTGTCTTGTAGACTTATTTCTAAATTAGATTTTGGGCTTTGGAGTCTAGTTTGGTATTTTAATGTGGCATAAGAGAATGACATGGACTCGAGGCCCATGCCTAGGTTTTTTAGATTGGTTATTATGGATTTTTGTATTTTTTTTTATTTTATGGTTTGGCAAGTGAACTTGGACCTTGAGTCTATGCTTGGTTCATTTTTTATGTGGGGAGTAGGGTTTAATTTACAATAGGTTTTAAGCCTCAATTTTTACCTTTCTCAAGTGAATTTCAACCATCTAATGACATATTAGGTGAGAGACTAAATCTTCTTTTAGTTTTCAAATCACCTCTCTTATAACTAATTAGAAAAGGCCTAAATAATAAAACTCACAAGTCGGGATAAACAACTAGACATATGAATGGACTTGCATTAATAAATTTCTTTAGGTTAGAAACATAAGGTAATCTCATTGTTATGACATACTAGGGTGACTATAGTTTTTCTTAGTTGTATAATCAACTTCCTTATTTAAAACTCTTAAGATCAATATTAGATATTTTCCTAGTGTTCACCTTTTTGAAAACCGAATGACAACTCCACATCTATACATTTTTTATTTTTGCAATTGCCAAGAGGTCATCATGTGACACACAACATTGTGTGGTAAGTGGCAATTTATATATGTAGCGTCCTTAACCTAATTCCTTACAAAAACTTCGTATAACTTAACCATTTTAGTTCTAGAAAACTCAATTAATCACAAAATATCACTTAGGATCGTTAAAACCTCATATTAGAAAGATTAGATTTTTTTTTTTATTATTCAACTAATCAACAACATTCTTTCCACTTATAACCCTTGGATATTCAATCAAAACCACTTTTTCTTTGCTCATAAACACGTCTCAAAACTCCTCCAGGAGTTCATATTTACATAGTTACATATACAATTCAAAACTCTCCTAGGATGCATATGCTCGGCATAATGAGAGAGAGGAGAGGGAGATCGCCAGACCGACTTGTTACTCATGTCGTGAAATGAGCAAGCAAAACAAGCTCTAAGCTTCTTAACTTCTTGTACCTAAAAAGTAATTGCATTTTTAATGAGATGCTACTCAATGAGAGAACAATAATTCATTGAAACCATAACATGCAATCACATCATCCAAGTATCATCACATATAAACAATACATGGAGTTCATATGACTCTAAGATTACATGCTTTCCTTTTTCTTGTCGGTTATGACTTGGACATGTCAAGTTCCGCCCGGGTACTTGTAACTTGTAAACTTGTACACATGTATTGTCGGCCAGCTTTTATAACTTGTAATTGACCCATTGGGTCCTTGTAAACTTGTATTTACGAAACTTGGACAAGCCAGTCATAACCTTAACCTCTTAGCCTTGCATATATCATGAATGTTTCACATATAGCATATACAACATCCATGGCTTACATCATGGTACATATCCATTATAACATCAATAAACATAACGTTTGCGTCAACTAGCAAACGACACATCATTCACATCATGATATCAATATCAATACACATAACATCAATAAACACAATGTTTGCGTCAACTAGCAAACGACACATCATTCACATCATAGAAATATAATATTAGCACTCAATAGCAATAACACATCACGGCACAACGATTATTATTCAACTCACAAAAATGACGTCTTCGTCGTTTATCAATGCGTCGCGTCTCGCACCTCACGCTCCTCGGCGTCTATAAACACATACACATATACTTTTATAAGTCATTTTATCATGATCAAACTTCTAAATATGCTTAAGGTACAAAATATGACTTTAGGGTTAACTTATTCCTTTATGGGTACTTGACCCCTTTTCACTCTTTCTACCATAAGTCTCAAAATACAGATTCAAATGATGCAATTCTAGTTTCACATGAAACTAGACTCATAGGGCTCTAACATATCCAAAAATCTAGTCTAGGTACGAAATACA